GTCGCACCAGCGCGCGCGCACCTGCCGCACACGTACACACATAATTTGTTGTATAGTAATTTGTTGTGTGTCTTATATGTGAGGTTATGCGTTAGGTGCGGTGTGGCACTCACGTATGTCCCAGAGGTGCACACCCTGGTTGGCCACGTTGAGCAGCAGCAGCGTGTCGGCCGCGTTCAGCGTCATCGCCATCACCGCGTGCTCCTCCTGGATCCTGCGCACACCAGAGACTCGTACAGAGACGGAGGCGGAGGCGGTGCGGGGTGGGAGTGTGGGGGTGTGGGGGAGTACTGACACGTTGCGGTCGGCGAGGTCGGTGAAGTCGTATTGACGCACGCGGTGGTGCGTGTCGGCGGCGAGCACGCTGCGCCCGTCGCTGCGGCAGGCGAGAGCGTTGACGCGCACGCCGTCCCAGCTGTTGAGCAGCACGCCGTCCGCGGAGCAGTGGTAGAACTGTCCGCGCGCGCCGCCGCACACGAACTTGTCGGAGGAGGCGTGCCACGCCGCCGCCGTCAGCGAGTCCTCCGTCGAGTGCGACATCTTCACGTGCAGCCGCTCCGTCTGCAACCGAACGCGTGTCACTTCACACGGAACTTTAAATGCGGCGTCCGCGCACGATCGCGACCGAGAGGTACCTCCATGTTCCAGATCCAGATGTCGGGGCAGTCCTCGTGTCCGGCGGAGAGCAGGTAGCGCCCGTCGGGGCTCCAGGCCAGGAACGACACGCCGAACGAGTGCCCCTCGAACGATTTCCTGCAACGGCCCGCGACGCAACGCGTTACGCAAACGTTTACGAACAAGTAGAAAGTATACTTTAGTGGTAATCGTGGCCGCCGGCGAAGTGAGTCGACGAGAGCGTTGACAAGCGTTACCTGAAGGTGAGACGCTTGGCGACGGGGTCGAAGTCCCATATCATGACGGTGTTGTCCTTGGAGCCCGAGGCCAGCTTTGAGCCGTCGGGGGACCACTTGCAGTACCACACCTCGTCGCAGTGCTCGTTCAGCACCTGGACACGAGGATCATTGTAGCACGTGGAGACTGCGGAGGGTGTAGAGGGCGCAGAGGGCGGACGCGGGCTACCTGCAGCTGGTGTATGGGGAAGTGGTCGGGCGAGCAGTGGTGGTCGGCCAGCAGGGTGAAGGGGATGTGCGTGGCGTGGGGCGCTGGGCGAGGCGCGGCGTGGAAGCGGCAGCGCGCCGCCTGCTGGGCCGCCGCCTGCGCCAGCAACGCGCGCAGCCGGCCCGGCGCCATCATGAGCGCCGGCGGTAGCACGGCCTGCACGCGCGCCAGCACCGCTGAGCGCGAGAGCGGCCCGGCGCCGGGCCANNCTGCTGGGCCGCCGCCTGCGCCAGCAGCGCGCGCAGCCGGCCCGGCGCCATCATGAGCGCCGGCGGTAGCACGGCCTGCACGCGCGCCAGCACCGCGGAGCGCGAGAGCGGCCCCGCGCCGGGCCAGCGCGCGCGCGTTTGCAGCTCGGCGGCGTCGGCGCACATCATCAGGGCTGACAGGCGGTGCACGCGCGCCGTGTCGTGCTGCAGCGGGGTCAGCTCGTTGCGCAGCACGTGCAGCGCGTCCAGCACGCGCCCGCTTTCCAGGTGCTCCAGGTACTTCTGCTCCAACACCACGAACTTCATCTCCTGTGGACGCGCACATTATTTTTTTTTAATTTGATATGTGCCAGTGTTTCATAGGAGCACGCAATATGAAAACATGATATTGGTATTGCGTTACGGCGAGGTTGTGGGGGTCGACGTGCGGCGAGTCCTGCAGCAGGTCGTGCAACGCGCGGAGGTCGTGGTCCGCCTTGAGCCAGTCGCCGGCCAAGACGTGCTGGCGGAAGGTGGCGGCCGCCGGGTGCTCCAGGTGCAGCCCCGATTCTTCCATCAGCAGCGCCGCGCTCCGCCTGCCGCCGAAAGGTCGAATTGATTTAACAGGATTAAGGGAACTTTATCTTGATTCGATTCGATTTCGCCGGCTATAGTATTAAATGGTTATACTCAACACCAATGACCAATTCAAATGTCTGGCCACGGCATATAATACAATTTTATAATGAGTGGAAGTGTGACAGGTGAGGTGCGGTGAGGCGAGGTAGATCCAGGGCTCCCCGCGGCCCGACGGGAATAGCTGCGGCCGATGACTCCGCCACTCGGGCAGGAGGCGAACGGACATTGTTTACATATGTGTATATTCGCTTGCTTTCGGGTCATGACATCTTATACATTAATCATGAAAATTTACTCGTACGTTAAACAATTGTCTGTAAAAACATTATTAAAAATCCACACTTAAAGTTGAGTTGGTTCCCAAATGTATATCACAGTCTATCTTGAAGAACAGTATAAAGCACACTACAATTTGGCATATTTTAATGTTACTCGTTTATCTATCTGTTTTAGAAATCGATTGCGTCGCCAGACGGTCTGCGGTCGTTGATCAGAACGTCCGCCAGACGACGGGCAGAGGGCGGGCCTCACAAAGTTCGAAACCTATCGAATTGGGGAGCCGATGTCGACGCACTCTAACGTTTCTTTGTTAAAGTTCACGTGTACCTGATAGTACCTGCAAACTACTTATAATAAATGTAAAGCCTACACATCTTAAAACCTTTAAACATCAAATTTCACTGAAACGTTATTTAAGCGCCCATTCGCACGGGCGGTTTTTTATCGCTGCATTAAAAAACCTTGTTGTTATCTTTTGGGCGAAGAATCGTGAAGATCACTGATGTTCCATTTGCCCAGAGCAAAAAATGCAACACCGTGTGATATTTTTTGATGCGTTTATAGCCGCTTCTGTATATACTTGGATGCATTTCATTGAAAAACAGAAATGTAACTTCAACAATTCTGGATAATTTATATAATAGATCAAAAGATTTGTTTTGTTTTTTTTTTTGAAAAATTACTTGTAATTTTTTTATCATTTGCAAGATCTTATGGAACTCACTGATCTTAAAATATTATTTTTTTATTGTATGCACAAAAACTATCCTTTTTCTTTTTCTGGGTAATGTTCAGCTTTGTGCCGAAATGGCTAGTTTATAACTGGTCTTATACTCAGTATCAACATCAAAATAATTAGAAGCAAGTATAGATAATATGCAATGTTTACTCAATATTCTATCAGTGATAAAGCAACACACCTAATATGTTACAATGACATATACATAAATGCACTATATTATGTATATTTCAATGTCACATAGTAATTAAGTCAGTATAAAAATGCAGTAACAATGTAAGCATACAAACTTGCCGCAAATTGTGCACAGACCACAAAAAGCAGCAGCATTTATTTTGCTTTAATTCAATGAAAAGACATAATTTTCCCTAAACTGTGCCTTTCTCCTTAACCTCTGATAAGAAATATGTGTGTCACTCAAATATAATTCCACTAAAGCTACAGAGAATGCAATGGAGAATGCAACATCCTAAAAATATTATTAATAAAGTAAATTTTGTATATTAAAAACTTAAAAATTTCTTTGTATATTATGTTATCTCAAGTATACAAATGTATAATTACGCTCAGATTTTGAGTAATAATAGCACTCACCTGATGTGGACTGTTTTGGCTCACTGGTATCAGTGAATATTTACATGATAACTGTTGTATGCATGCACTGATGTTGATACTGATGATATACTGTTCCACTGTAGTGGCACAATTGGTGGTAATAAATTGCTACTGTTTATCTTTGTTCTTAAACCTTAAATATGCTTAACAAGTAATTTAATGGGAGCATAACAGTCCCCACCTTCTTCAGCTCCTCTATTCCTCATCAGTTTAAATAGTTTTATGTAGATAATGGCAAATGAGCAAATAAACCTTCTGATGTGTGACCACCCTGTGCATGCCTACAAGCTCATAAGTCACGAGTTGCCTCACCTACTCATCATTTATGGACAAAAGAACAGAAACAAGTACCATAAAAATTGAAAAAAAATCTTATCTTTATCTTATTAGAACAAGATGTTGAAGAGATCTAAAATTGGGCAACTAATACTTCAATGGTTCTATTGTGCTTCTTGCTTGTGTCCTGTGAGTGTGAGAGATTGCACCAGTTGGCCCACTCAAACAGCATGTTGGTGGTGCAGATTCTATCACATTATTTGTAAGAGAGCTACAGACTGTAACCTAAATAAACAAAACCTAATTAATTAAAAAACTCACTCCAATCCAACAGAGAGCAAGTGTTGGCCGATCAGACGCACAATCTCCTGGTCCGTCTGGCTCATGCGTCGCCCGGGTGGTTGGAAGTCACCGTTGGTGGCGACTGCATCACCATTGACATGGTGCTGAGCGCCCACCGCGCCGTTGGCGCACGGCTGGTGCATGGCCGCGGGCTCCGGCGACAGCCTGCGGGTGCGCTTGCGCGGCGGCCGCTGGCCTGCGCCCTCGTCGCCCGACTCACTGGAGGCCAGGCTGGCCCTCTCAGCTGCGCGTGCCCGCCGCGCTCCCCGTAGCGCCGAGATCACGAACGAACTCTCCGCATCCGCCGCATCGGCCTCGACACCTCGCTCTTGTGACGTCACGGCCGCCCGTTACGCACCACCCGCACTCAATGGACCATCTCCCTTTGTTCGTGCCTACAAAACTATGCTTCTCGATTGTTCCGCTTTGCTGCTTAAGGAGATTATCCAATCGATAAAGATTGCTCTGAAAATGATGCAGTAACTCAACACAGTGCTAAGATATGTACTCAGGTTCACAATGATATCTAGCGTATACAAAAATCAGCTGAAAATGAAACGACAGCTGTCTATGTGCAACATCGCCCTTCCTTTCCGATTTAGATGACGTTCGTTTCATCGTTTGTTATTCCGTCGCACATCGGGAGGAATCGTATGCAATGTAATGACTTCAAAATAAATTATTGTGAAACAAAGAAGCAATTTTCTTTCACAATTTTTGAGTTATTAATTTAGTACTATACTTAGAATGAGTTCAGAAGTATCTTAAGAGTGATTAAGATAAAATTAAAACGTTAATAACGATGAATATCGACAACAACATCACAAGGTCCAGAGTACAATTGTGACTTTATTACTAAAACGGAACGTTACAAGAGACGACAACTTTGACAATGACAAGACACATAGATTTATAAATAAAGTTGACAATGACATTTGACGTATAAAAAGGAAATAAAAACAAAATATAAAATAAGTGTAAATGATACTAGGTATTTAGATATTAGCTAAAATAATAACGATTCTATTTTCTTTAACTATAATGCTTACAAGGCATTATAGATACAGCAAAAAAATGTGAAATAATTTACAAAGAAAATAAAATACACAGGGAATACAAAACGTACACAATAACAAGATATACTGATTCGTTTGTACCCAAAAAAGCCATTGTTATGAAAGTTTTGATAAGAGAAAAATGCAGTTATATACAAGTGTTATTTTTCTTTACACTCTAGTCCAACCAATAAATTTACAGCTGCTGATTAATGTTAAGAATCAAGTATGAACCTTTATATAATCAAATTGCTAATGCTAATGTGAACTTATTTAATATATTATTGAGTTGTGCAGGGTGGCGATGTTATGCAGGAGAACATAACAGCGAATGTCTCGGAGGACACGGTCATACTTGATTTTTTGCGCTTGGATGGAGTCTATATCTCGCAACTTGTCGACTTTACCAATGTAAGTGACTCATTGATGTTAAAAAACCGTTGAAGTGCATGCATAACCTGCTGACATATTGTTGACATAACATCATTTATTGAAAATATCACAGTTGTATTTATGTCCATTAAAGGAGGTGGAAGCTATGAAAGTAGTGATACCAGCAGAAGAGGAACTAGGCCAAAGTGGGTACCAAACACTGTGCTTCTTGACCCATGCTGCACAGGCTGATTTTATTGCACCAGATGCAATGGCAAAATTGCGGCAGGTTTGTGCAGATTCACCATTAAACATTTTTTAATTTTTCATGCCCCTTCCATACTACTGACGTTCCACCCGTGCGCCCTTTCTTATCTCGCTATGCTAATCTGTTGTTTTATGAAAGGTTATTGTTATTTATTTATTATTGAGGTGTTTTTATTATAGAAAAACCCAGGAACAGTGCGTGTAGCAGAGGAGGATAAGGGCTGGCGCCAGACAACGACCACAGCATGGGCGGGACGCGCCGCACGACTTCTGTCACCTGCGGCCGGGAGGCACTGCGCCCCTGCTAGGAACCATGTCTTCTTGAGGACTGCTGACCTGTCCAGATGGGCACCGAGGCCAGGTACTTTAATCCTCTTTTTCACTTTTAAAATGTACTGGGTTTACTTAGATATACTTTGGGATATTAGGGTCAGAGTAAAAAACTTTTTTTCTGCTTATTCTATGTTTGCAATATCTTCCCAGGAATGGCGCAGTTATCATATTCAGCTGAAGTAACACCATTTCCAGCCAACGCTCTGTCACCAGACACATCTGATGGCAAGCCGGGGGTAGCTCCATGTGTGGCAGAAAATGATAGTGCCAAAGACTGTATTTGTCACATAGAGGTATGTTGGAATTTTTTTTAAGTAAAGAAGTCATAAGTAATGGTTTATACTTTATAGGAGTAATAACTACTTTCACAACCACAGCATTCGAGGGAGTGGAACAAAGTAATTTTTGGAAGAAGTAAGTTTTTCAGGGACTATACATTCCTTAAGCAATCTATCATATAAACACAAAAATCTGCCTATAAAACTGGATCATAGATATGACTTGTATTTGTTATAAATAATAAAATGATGTTTTAGGTGTGTGTTAACTGGTACCCCTGTGGCCTGAAGTACTGCAAGGGCAAGCCGCAGGGGGGCATGAGCTACCGCTGCGGCATCAAGACGTGCCACCGCTGTTACCGCTACCATTACTACGTGACCCGACGCGATGCCTGCCTCAGCTACACGTGACAGTGCGCCAATCGACCGCCGCCCACTTCCGTGTGCCAAACTATCTCCCGACTCACGCCCAGTGCAGCTTCCTGACTTTGAAGCAAGAGTATCACCAGTTTTTATTGTGTTCAGTGCTACGGATTTGTTGTGGGATTTCATGTTAATAACTAGAAATTGTAGTTTCACTGAATGTGTTAATCATATGATTTCCAGTGAAAATACAACTTGTGACTGACAAGATGATTGTTGAATCACACTATTTCCTAGGTATGTAATTTGCCTTTTACACACTATAAAGTACCATCTTATTTTGTTTAGCTTAAATACCATTGAATTATTTTTTCTTCCATGTTGATTTATCAGATGTGCAGCTATATGTTCATACAAAATGATGGTTAGTGCAAAATGTAATTTTTCTATTATATTGGAGTGATAAAGTTCTTGTATCTTAAATGCTGTGGAATTGGATTCCTGTAAATTAAGAATAAAACTTTTTGTATGATGTTTATTGATTTCTATATAATTTGTTTTATTTCATAAAAATACCAGAATGTTTTTCTAAAACTTGCAAACATAAAGAAATATTACCTCTCTACTTAAACTTGTAGACATCCTTCCATATTAATGATGTTCTAGTTACTTTTCTAACAATAATCATTTCATTGAATACAAAACAGAGAACAGAAAGATAATTCTAAAATATAATAATATAATATTTTATTATACATACATAAAACATGACATTTTGTTGCAATTATGTAACCTTTAAAATTTAACTACAGTATCTTAACTACAGTTTGTTAAATCTAGATTTTGAAATTTAAATAAACTATTTATATGTCAATGACATCCAGGAAATGGCTCATGGCGGTTTTTTCTAAGCACGAAGTGGATTTTTCTCTCCATATCTTCATTATAAATTGCCTTGCATTTCTCATGGTTTACTCGTCGCCTTGTCTGTAATTCAAAAATATTACTATTTATATCTCTCTATCTATGTATATTGTTCACTTTCACAATTCAACAGCAGTAATTTTTCTTCATAACCTTTGAGATTTAAAACTTTAAGATGACAATTTCACAATTATTCAAACAGTAGTACCTGAAAAGGTTTTTCATAATATCTTGTGAGACGAAACTGCTCCAGGATGCCTTCCTTCCCAAGAATCCTGTTCACGAGTCTGCACGCGTCGTCTACGTTGTTGTTCTTTACGAATACGGTTCGAGCAATAAACGAAGGATGTCTGTTAGCAAGAAGTTTAAGTGTTAGAAACATTTTTGCGATTTATGTTATAGTTTAATATCCGATTGGTTAAGGAAAATTTAAAGTCAGAATTATAAACATCGAAAAAATCAAAAATGAAATCTGTCAATATGACATAACTACTGTGTTCTGATATTCTGTGTGAGAGTGACAGTGACAGATAGGATTTGATGCAGTTTTGTGCAGAGTTTTATGTGAATAAAAAGATAATAAATAGGAACAATAAAATTGATAAACCAAATGTTTCATAAAAATTAATTGAAAGTTATGACTTATTTTATTTCATTAAAATATACAACGGTTCATAATAATTAATGTCGGCCTTTAACTTAAAATATATATTTTAACTTATAAGAGGGAAAAGAATGAAACAGATAGAAAAGTAGTTTAAAATACTTGTAAGGAAATAATTGTAAGGAAATATATAAATACTGTATACTGCATGCGATATAATTTAAAGATGTATACTTTTTAATTAGAACCTTTTTTGAATTAATCGATATTCAAACTGTTTGCTGCAATAACTTCATACTCAACCGTTTGATATTTAACAACAATAACGAAACAGAAGTTTGTCATTTTCTTTAATTCGTATTAACTAACCCCTACTAATAGTTCCCAATCAATTAGATTAGAAATACTTTACATTAATTTTTATGACTTTGGATTTTATAAAAATTGCATTGCTAAGAAGCAAAAATGGCAAACGATAGTGACATGAGGTCGCTGTTGACGATGTCCTCGAGCATCGACGGCAGCACCTCCCCACAGGTTCGCAAGTGGAGGAACATCCCGCTGCACGAGAGGTGCTCCATGAGTGACATGGTCAAGATAAAAGAAGTATTCGAGACAACTTATGGAAACAAACTGCTACAAAATGAATTCAGAACTCTCTTAAAAACTTTGCTGAACGTAGAATACGATGACGAAGAATTTAAAATACTTTTCATGAAGGTATTCTTTAAGGTTGCATTAAGTAGATCAACAACGAGTTCTTAATAGTATAGTTGATCTAACGTCGAGGGGAATTTACTAAACTTTATTAAACAATTAACCGTTATTTGTTTACCGTTAAAATCTAGGAATGTGCTGTAATTTGTCTACAGTTTAAAAGATAATTTCTCAGTGTAGTAGATTAGTTATTAAGACCATGGTATTATGGTCTCGTGTTGGCACAGGCACAGATCAGTGATATTTGTAGATTTCACATGAGTGTAATATTTTGTAAGATCAACACCAGCCGTGACGGTGAGATCAACTGGGACCAGTTGGTATCACACCTGCTGCTCGGCTACTTCGCCAGCGACCAGGAAGATCAGGGAGAGTCTCTCCAGCTGCCTATCATGGGCCTGCCGAAGATTATGAGATCGCAGCACCGCCATCCCATCTCTAGGATTTGCTTCTGTCCAGATGTTGCTAAAGTAAATTTAATTTATAAGTATCATGTTGCTTGAACTAGCCTAAGTGTTTTCTTTTATTTCTTATTACTTTTACTTTAGAAAAAGCACTTTATAATAGCAAATAATTTGCTATTTTTTCGGATTTAATTTAATTTGGGGTAAAGTGTAATTACTGATTGAGTTACTAGCGCAGCACTGCAACGCTTGTTATTTTTTAAAATAGTAAACAGACGATATATGAATTCATGAACAGTAATAGTAAAGTGTTGTAACGCGCTAGGACCGCAGCACGGATCCGATGCAGGGTTGCTACATCACGGCCAGCCGCGACGGCATGATCAGCTGGTGGTCGCTGGATATGGTGCGCCTGCGCAGCGCGCACTCCACCTGTCGTACGTATTTATACCCGTACTGTATGTTCTACTTTGAAATATTACCTTAGTATAAAATTATTATTGTATTATTTACAATCAGTGTACTTATTGCGAAAGGATGATGTTGAAGTGAGTTTTTACGGGCCACAGCCGCGCTGAAGGTGCGCACCACGTGGGTGACAGACCTAGCGTGTCTACCGGACGTCAACATCGTGGTGACGAGTTCGACGGAGCGCGACTTGCGCTTCTACGACTGCAGCGCAGGCACCTTCACGCTCAAGATCATCATCTCCAGTTGGGAGTACATGGTGACGTGTGCTTAACGTAAAGTTTTACTAACAAGCCCACTTGTTACTAACTATGTTACACTAACTTTTATACAGAGAACAGAATGCAGAGCAATTAGATTACGTAACGTCCACTAGACGTAATTTTCATATTAAGGTTGCGAAAAGAAGAAAACGTATAAGTAGTTAATAAAATAATTTGACAAAAATGTACTTATTCCTTTGTCGTATCGTGTTCGTATCGTTACGTCGTCGATCAGAAGACATGATCAACTAAAAGTATGCAATGTCTTTGTGTCAGATAAGTACAATGTACTACCACTTCGATAAGGACGAGCGCGAGGACTGTCTGCTGGTTTGTGGCGACGTGGGCGGGTACGTGCGCGTGCTGCGCTTCTCGCCCGTCATGCGCGGCCCCTTCCGCAACCAGCCCGGGCGCGCGCTGCAGCAGCTGCGCCACGTCGACCTGCAGAAACGGGTGCGACGAATATGCACATGATCGCACCATGCCGTGCAAGCAGGTAAGCAGGTGAGCGAGGCGCTGCAGCGGGTCGTGTTGCAGCCGGAGCTGCTGCCCGAGCTGCAGCTGGTGGAGTTCCCGCGCGCGCACACAGACTGGGTGCGACAGGTGTCGTACTACGCTTCGCTGCACTGCGTCGTGTCGTGCGCCACGTGCCCCGACGCCTTGCTCATGTGCGACCTCGCCGCATCCCGCACGCACAACACTTTCCACACAGAAAAGGTTTGTTTACCCTAAAATCAATTTTCAGAATACTGAGCGAAGTAACCGATTCTGGGATCGATGAATAATTTGGTACATATTTGATTCATAATGTGGTGCTTATAGCGGTGGGTAATATCGGTCCCGTGTCGGTCAGTGAATTCGTGCGGCGTGTGCAGGGCATCCAGTGCTTCGCATTCGAGGAGGAGGCGCATGTGCTGGTGACGGGCGGGCCGGACTGCTGCGTGCGCGTGTGGAACTCGTTCGTGGCGACGGCGCCGAGCGCGCTGCTGCAGGGACACCGCGCCGGCATCATCGCGCTCGTGTTGCAGGACCGCGCCCGCCGCGCTTACTCGCTGGCTCGGGACCGCACCATCAAAGTGTGGGATCTGCAGGCGCAGGCCTGTCTGCAGGTCTGATTAATATTTAACTTATAGAAAAACTCCACTTAACTAATATTTCTAACATTTTTTTGTGGAACTTGCGTACAATTGAAAATGTCTTGTTTAAGTGATTTGTTGTGGGGTCCTCGACAACGTCCGATGGCATTGAGTATCAATTTCATTTAAGAATATAAAATGGTTATCGGTCGGTAGACTTACATCGACGTGCCGCCGCAAATCGGCGAGCGCACGCCCATCTCTGCCGTATACAACCCGGCGACGCGCGAGCTGCTGCTGGCGGCGGTGAAGCTGGCCGTGCTGGTGCTGGACGAGCAGCTCAACCCGCTGCATACTGACGGCTTCACGCACTCGCGAGCCGTCTCCAAGCTGCTCTATAACCCGCTCTTCAAAGTTATCATCACCTGCGGAATGGACAGCATCATCATCAACTGGGATCCTCTCACCGGTGAAGCGTTGACATATAATACGAACTACAATATATTCTATAAATAATATTTTTATCGGAACCTTGTGAATAAAAGTTTAGATCTAACCTCAACGTAATTGTAGAGCACAATATTTTTTAAACAATCAGGTAAACGCAACGTGGTGATGCGATCTGCGCATACGCGGCTACTGCACGGCGAGCTGGTGCCTGTGGAGATCACGGCCGCCTGCTTCGACCCCGCCAACCAGCTGCTGCTCACCGGCGCACGGGACGGCACCCTCAAGGTACCACTCGCAGTGCATACCACTGTTCGCAACTGTGCTCCTTCTTCTTGCTATGTATTAAGTGCTTGAAAATAAAATATTATAAAGTAGAGTTTTGCTCGGCAGACGTGGAACTTCAACACCGGTGTGAGTCTACGTTATTTGGAGATCGAACACATGTGCGAGGTCACCAGCTGCTTTTGGATTGAAGGAAGGTAGTAAAAACAAGTATAGAAATTCATTTCATGAATAAGCGAGAGTAAAATATATTGAGATAGAAATGTTACTTACTCGTATATTACAACAAGTAGTTCAGTCACCCTCCGCCTCGTATAACATTGCGTGATGGACACTACGGATACCGGCGTTAAAGTACAATGCCGTCGGGAGGCCGCGCAAAGCGCTTCATAGAAAAGAGCGCCCCAGGTCTGCGTATTACCCCCCCCCCCCCCCATCAGACAGGGTATATTTTGGAAGTTTCCCCACGATCCAAGGAAGTAATCCAGGGCACTAGTACTTGATGTCGGGAATAGCTGTAAAGTTTTTGACCGACGTATGTAAGTGCTTCACTCTGTAGAAGATATCAGATAATGGACACTAAGTTTCGTATTAGGATTCTAGCGGTGGGGTGGAACCGGCACGTGACTGAGTTCGAGGACCAGGGGCTGGCGACTCAGGGCAAGAGCTGGGAGACGCGACACCGCGACGACGTGCTGGCGGCGGCCGTGCGCGTCCCGCTGACCATCGCCACCGCCTCGTACGCCTCCGAGCTGCTGCTCTGGAAGCTGGAAACCGGCCAGCCCTACAGGTGTGCTCGGCTCGGCCCCGCATCGTGTCTTCTCTCTGTCGGAAAACCTCGTCCTCAACATTGATATTTGTTGTACTCAGGAGGTTTTCGTGCACGGAGCCGACGCTACGCATCAAGATGCAGTACAGCAAGCGCACCGCCTCCCCGCAGCAGCCGGCAGCCGCCGCCGCCGCGCCCCACGCTCATAGACCTTCTGCTATTTTCCGTCCGAGGTTATCTATATTTTTTTATCCTTTCAAAAGGTTGTAAAAACATAATAAAGATGATAGTGGTGATCAGACGCAGATTTTAGCATTAAATGCGATACTATTGATGAGGTCGCACTATTGTGGAAATACTAAATAATAGCGATGTGGCCCGCCGATGGATGGCGACGGTAGCATTGGTTTGTGCATGGTCAGCGTGAGCGGCATCCGGTCGGGGCGCGCGCGGCGCGTGTCGACGGTGGCGCTGCCGGCGCAGGCGCAGGTGCTGCGTCAGCTCGCAGTGCACGCCATGATCTTTCTGGAGACGCGCCCGATGAGCATGCACGTCGGTGAGCCGCTCGCTCTCATCCCTTACTGTGTGGTGTATCAAGTCTAGTCTCGCTTTAATGGATGTCTCCATTTGTATGGAAACTTTGCAGCGTCTATGATGCTATCCCTGGAGAACGGGCAGGTGCAATGCTGGTCCGATCACCCGGCGGGCGGGTACAAAGGCTCATTCCAGGGGATCCACACGGCAGGAGACTACGTGTCGGCCTTCGCCACCGACGTCGGCAACGAGTTCCTTTTCACCGGGACCACCGTCGGTTACATCAAAGTCTGGCTTATGACGAACTACCTCACGACTGAGAAGGTAATATGTCGTTTGTCCGTTCGTTCGTACGTCAATTATTGTACGATGGCTCAGTATAAGTATACACCGACACATATTGAAATAGTACTTAACTATAGTTAATTCAAAGTGTACATAATGTAATCGCTCGCTTGGGGTGCACCAGGTGCACGTGAACATGCCGCGGCTGCGCATGGAGTTCCCGTTCCTGTGGCGAGACCGCATCGAGGGCCGCGCCAAGCGCTGCGTGCGCGACCAGCCCCTGCCGCTCCTGCTCAACAGCTACCGCGCGCACCTGCGCTGCGTCACCTCGCTCGCCTATATTGACGACCAGAAGCTTTTGCTCTCGTTAGCTCAACAACCATTTTGTCATGCTTTGCAGTTTTAGAGTTATAACTCCTTTTAAGTGAGCCATACTTACATGGTCCGGGAATGTTTGTCTAAAAGCAATAGCTACAGCATATGGCAGTCCCCAGAGTGTCGTGTCGAGAACGTCTTTGTATGTCATAGCATGATGTGGAGGCGGTGTGTGTGTGCGTGTGTGTCCGCAGCGGCAGCTCGGACTACAGCGTGCGCGTGTGGCGGCTGAGCGGACAGTACGTGGGCACGCTCGGCAGCTTCGTGCCCTGGTCACTGGAGTCCACGCGCTTCCCACCCGACGTCCAAAAAGTGGCCAGTTTTACTACTTTCAAGGTCGGCGACTACTAAATTAATAATTACTTCAACACGACTAGACCCGTGCTTGTAATCAATTTTATAACGTAAGGTGTGGCGCGGAGGCTACGTGTCGCGCTACGTACCGGGCCGCGTGGCGCCCGACGTGTCCGACGTGACGGCGGCCGAGCTGCGCACGCGCACATTCGGCGCCGCGCCCGCTCCACCGCTGCTGGGCCGCCACACCACGCTGCCGCCGCGTCCCGAGCCCCAGCCTCCGCCGCGACTCGACGACTCCCTACCCACCGTTAGCTGCCTACTCTACTTCCATCGCTAATCTCACCTTATTCCTTTTTACCATATTACTGTAATTACATAGTCACAGCGATATGTCCGGCATATGTTTATAGCTTTTCTTGCGTTGATGAATGACTGTCGTCAAGGTTGCGAGTTATTAGAGAAAGTTTTTATGTGTTAGTGGTTAGCGCGAGGCAAAGAGCTTTTTTGTATCCAGATCCCGCTGTACACGCACCTACGTGTGAGCGGCACGCAGGCGGTGCGGCGGCCGCCCACGCCGGAGCTGGTGCGGGCGACGCGGTTGCGACGGGGCGCCGCGCGCCGCACGCGCTTCGGCGTGCCTCCGCGCCGCGACACGCACAGCGACCGCCCGCACGCGTCTCATGACCAGCACCGCGACCGAGACCGAGACCGAGACCGAGACCGAGACCGCGACCGAGACCGAGACCGAGACCGAGACCGCACCGCACACTGACTCCGCCCAACATCGTTTCTCTAATCGAAGCGTAGCTTTGCGGACAATTAGGTATTCTTGTTTAAAAAGTTTTTATAAACTCCACGTATCGAAGCCGAGAAGTTGTACAATCTCAAGGTTTGCTTTCTTACAAGTTCTTTCTTTTCGGCTGTTGTCTCTAAACTTTTAAGACGTTGGTTGCGGCGTTGACAGGGCTCCGGCTCCGGCTCCGGCTCCGGCTCCGTCATGTCCATCATGTCCGCGCGAACATGCGCGCACTCACCACAACACACCGGCCACAAGTGTACCGGAAAATACTTTTAATTTTTGTATGCAATCATTTTTAAAATTAAATAAAATAATCAAACTTAAACATGTAAATGTGTATTTTGTTTTTTATTAATCATACGTTACTAATCAATATATACTATTATATATATAGCTATTAATAAATAAATCTATCTATATAACAAATAAAATTAGATTATTTGTATGTTACATAAAATCATAGCGTATTTCGTGAACATAATGTGTTTGCGTTGCTTATAACAAAAACAATTTTAATCTGTCCTATCCGCAAATCTGCATTTGTTCCGGGTAAAACGACCAGACCGATTTTGGCGGAACTGTACTGGAACGTAGTTGATACACGAGGGAGTAACTTAGGCTATTTTTTAAATTTCACGATGACGAAGTCGCGAACAACAGCTAGTATTATAGAAAAAACGAATCACTTAATATTAAAAATCTATTTTGAGCTTAAGAATAAAACAATTTGTCATCCGGAGAAAAGTAATCAGACATCAAATAGAACACTGGTTGGTATTGGAGAAAGGCGGTCGGAGTTGCTTAGGTAATATAAAGCATCCGAGGAATTTAAAAACAATCCATTCCTAATGGGTACTAAAAAGGCGATGCCAAGTTGTTTTAATGCTTATGAGGGTAATGTTTGTGGGCGGGCTTTCGGCGCGCGGGCCGCTCCTCCCTGACGCTGAGCGCGCGCTCTAGCAGCGTCTGCAACTCGCGCAGCTCCGCGCTGTCCTCGGCTACGGGGTTGCCGTCGAGCTGGACATGCAGCAAACCACCTACATCGTGCGCTTGCCCGTGGACATGCGTGAGCGTCTGCTCGTGCGCAAGTGCATGTCCTTGCACATGTGCGTGCGACTGCTCGTGCGTATTTGGGTGTGACTGGTCGTGAGCATGCGCGAGTCCGTGCGCGGGCGCGTGCACGTCACGCCATGCCGCCTGCTGCGCCAGCACGCGGCACAGTAGCCCGACGCTGGAGCGGTCAAGTCGGTTGTAGGCCAGATTCAGCGAGGCCAGCTTCATGTTGCCGAACGAAAACACTATTCTGTAACAAATATTTAATTGTCAATGTGGTATGTACTTACATTTTTGTTATCATTACTAATATCCTTATTAAAAATTATATGAAACACTTTCATAAGGAAATTGGAAAAACACCTTTACCATGTTTGTAAATTAAACATAAGGGGTTTAAAACGCTAACTCCAAGTTGCTCCGTTTAGATATTAACTAATGAGTTAGACGATGAATGCGTATCGTAAATTACATTAAAATGAGGTGACTGAATACGTTTACAAACCCATTTCGTACGAAAGTCTTGTACTTGCTGAATGGGTCCCGCTTCAGCTGCAATAAGCTAGCCAGGCGCGCCGTCCCTGCTGCGTCAGGTACGCTCGGCGCACTTTGCGCACCCGGCACGCTCGAGGGCACCGTCAGGGACGACAACGTCTCTTCTGCACTGAGCGATTGCCACGAGGGCACCGGCCCTAGTAACGCCTTACTCGCCACCTTGCTCATCAATCTGCTCCCCAGCTTCTGCCTGCTTCTTATTGGAACCACGTTCTCTTTGTCGGCGTCCGGGGACAGCTTCCTTGTGGATCGTCTGATGGATAACATCGTGCTCCTCCGCTCTATCTTCGACAAAGTTTTCGAAGGTTCCTTGTGATGCGGAGGGAAGATTTCATTGCGTAATTTTAAATACTCGAAGCGACGCCGATTTCTCCCCATATGCTCATCGTCCGACAGCGGAAACTCGCCGAGGGTTCGAAATATATGTGCGACGCCGGCGGCGGAGAGCGCGTTGTCGGCCAGATCGAGGTGTCGCAGCGCACGGTTGGAGCGCAGAGCGGCAGCTAAGGCGGCGGCGCCCGCCTCCGAGATGAGGTTAGAGCTGAGCGTGAGCGCCTGCAGCGAGGTCGCGGCGGGCATCGGGTAGTGCAGACGCCCGGCGAGGAGGGCGCACGCCTCGTCGTCGAGGATGCAACGCGCGAGGGATAGGCACCGCAGCGACGTGCTCTCTTCGAGCAGCGTGTGGACGTCGTGCCGAGGGATCGGCGAGTCGTCAAGACAGATTTCGGTCAGGTAGGATGCCGGAAGAAATTTTACGATCTCCTTTAGGGCGAATCCTCGCGAGGGTCCCCACCGAACCGATATTTTGTTTAAGTTCGGATGAAAGGGGATGCAGAGAGAAATTATCTTGAGAAGCAAAGCAGGGATCATTTTACAGCGCCAAAATATGATCTCGAGGACGTGGCCCAGCAGGTCCTCGACGACGATGATATTGATCGGTCCGCGTCGCCAGCCGGACGATGCCGCCGAGGCGGCCGAGCTACGCGCCATGCTAGAGCTACGACGCGAGCGTCTCCTCCTCAGCGATGGCTGGACTGTGCCAAACAAAAACTTCTTAATAGTTTTTATGTTGCTTATATAAAAATGTTTTTATGTCAACTTATAATAACTAACTACTTATTATATACTAGTGGTAAAAGATTTCTGCTAATATATAGATAAATATTGTCAGCTGGTTCATAAATAACCGAGCCGGTGCGACATGTCAACACGAACTAATTCCATCTAAAGGTGCAGATACTGACATTGAGTATAGGGTATGATTTGCAGGTCGAAGGGCGCCTGCAGCTGTCCGCAGGCGTACGGCAGGAAGGAGAACAGGTTGATTGGCTTCGGGGGTTCGCTTTCCTGTTCCTCCTCCATTTTTTCTATTCAGAAGTAGCAACAAGTTTTCGTTAAAACATCAGGAAAGTGACTAGTGGCCCAACTGACTCTTGACAGGAGACGTCAATACTTTTTTTTAAGTCTATGGCCCTCACATTTATAAAAAAATTCGTACCGGTTTATAGATTTTTTTAAAGTGATCGTCCATTGGTCGATATTCGAACATAAGTCATTATTATTATAGAATTGTGTTTTATTTTTTAATAAAACACACGGATACCGGTACAATAAAGATACGTGTCCATTTGCCGCGTCGGACGCACCGCATGCACGGCCGGCAACGGATTTTAGTTTGCTTTGTATGATTGTACATAGTGCTGTCCGTCCATCATCCGCGCCGCCCGCATCGCATCGAGACAAAGCAAATCCGTTAAAGCCGTGCGTTACTTAAACAGGCGTAAGTGAATGAAAACAAAGTCCGTCATCAGTAGCATTTTTTTGAAGAATATACTTTACTATGGATGTATGGGTTAGAAATGAAAGGCTCTTATTGTGTACAAATTCATATAATATCTATTTATTTTGTGTCATTATCCAAAGTTAACAGAAAGACATAGCTAACGTTACATTTACTTTACATCACGAGAAATTCTAAAAATATTGACATCAGAGTGAAGGCTTTTAGGCTTTAAAGTTATGTATGTATAGAAGTTATATAAATAAAAACATATTTTGTTAGATAAGTTTAGGTGTTCAAATTCAAGTGAAAAGTACAAGATAGAGTGAGGGGTGGGGGCGTGGCGCTACTTGTGGTCGCGCTTGGTGCCGCTGAGCACGACGTAGGGCGAGTGCGTCTCGCGCTGCTTCTCCTGCAGCATCTGCAGCGTGCCCAGCGGCGTGTCTGTCGAGCTCATCTTCTTCATCAGCTGAAAAGGTTCAACAGTTGTAGTGCGACATGACATGTACAGTCGGGGGCGGGGGCGGGGGCGCAGCACTCACCCCCTCCTGCACGGCCTTCTTGATGCGCTTCTCCTGCTTGTTCTTGCCGGGCCCCTTGCCGTGGAACTTGTGCGAGAGGTAACGGAAGGCCTCCTTGGGGCAGAGCGGGCGGCCCTCGTCGTCCACGTACTCCAGCTTCACGTGGGGCCGGAAGCCTGAGCGCTCGCGGAACTCCTGCAGCGGCCCCGAGTGCCCGCCGCGCTCGCGACGACCGTACTTGTCGTCCTCGCCCCTAAACGAATACCCGTTGAAAAAGACCACAACCAGATATCGATTTACGAGTTAGTATGTAACATTTGCGGAGCGCGAACTGACGCGTGACTCTTGTCCTCGATGGAGTAGTGCCTGGCGGCGAGCTGGTGCGGCGCGGTGCGAGGCGCGGGCGCCGCCCCCGCCTTCTCCAGGTAGCCCTTGCTGAGCGCCAGCTGCAGCGCGCCCGCCACCCCGCCGCCCAGCGCCGGCTCCGCGTCCAGCGCCACCGACGACCCTGCCAGCCCCACCAAAATTTATACATTAACAATATAAATACGAGAGCAAAGAAAAAGTGTAGGATTTGACGAGGCTCACCGGCGGCCAGGTCGGGCGCGCGCTCGCTGTGCACGTCCACGCGGCTCCAGGCGCCAGCACCATCCGCACCCGCCCCCATCTCTGCCACCACCCCCGCACCCGCACCCGCCTCCACCTCCGGCTCCTCGCGCTCCATCTCCTGCACACACAATTAAACGTAAACGTAAAATACAAAAGCATGTTATGATATGTGAGGACGGCGACGGAGACGGAGACCATGATCTCGGCGTGGTGGTCGCGGTTGCCGGCCTGCCCGTAGGTGGGGATGTCGCCCAGCGTGCGACAGAACTCCGCGGTCGCGTCCAGCACGATGGCCCCGCCCGCCTCCTCATCCTCCGCCTCCTCCTTCACCCGCTCCAGCAGCTCCTCCACCTGCACAACATAACCGATAAGTCATGAGATTGCTAAAGTGCAAAACAAGTACGGGTAAATATCGGTGTTTCTATGCGAGATATGGATTACTTTGGGCACGACGTTGGTGTGGCGCTGCTCGGCGAGACGCAGGCGACGAGCGCGGGCCAGCGCGGCCTGCAGCTCGCCGTCCGGCTCCACCTCCTCCTCGTCCACCGCCACCCGCAGCGTCAGTTGCTCTGGCTGCACCTCTGCAACCACACCGACACGCTGCTCTAATTGTAAACACTTGTGTTCGTTCTTAGTACGAGAGGTGGGCGAGGTGGGCGGTGCATGAGGTGGGTGAGGTGGGCGAGGCGGGCGAGGCGGCCGAGGTGGGCGGTGCATGAGGTGGGCGACAAACCGGTGTCGTCGGTGTCGAGCGGCACGGCGCCCGCCTCGTAGTCGTCCACGTCGATGGGCTCCGCCTTCGTCCGCTTGCGCATCTTGCCCTGATACAACACATATGTTACAATCCCCAACTTGTCACTGGGCAAAGAGCATTATTTAAACCATTTAGTGTGATGTACCTTTTTCTTGGGCTTCTTAAACTTGGCCTGTATCTCGTGCTCGTCCAGGTAGTCGGTGGCGGGGCGCAGCGCCGGCAGCTGCAACGACTCCAGCCGCCGCCCCGCCGCGTTCGGCAGCCGCTCCTGACGCTACCGGTATAAAAAATCTTATTTGATAGTTACAGTTAACGATTATTATATGTAGTTATTTCTATGATGACATCGCGAACCGACCATGAGGTCTCTGAACTTGTTGGCTTCGATGGAGTCGTCGTCTCCGATGCGGAAGCCCTTCTTCTTGTCGGATTTGTCCTTGTCGATCTCGTCGTCGTACTTGGCCAGCAGCGGGCGCGCCAGGCCCAGCGCGGCGGCCACCTCCGCCTCCTCGTCGTACGCCTGGTAGCCCGCCGCGGCTTTCTTGCGCTCCACTATGTTCTGCAACGTTCGCACCGCTATTGTACACCTCTGCTAAACATACTATTTCCGGGGCTGCTCGGGGAGGAGGCCGACCTTCTTGTAGCGCTCGTCGTCCACCATGTTGACGTTGACGAGCACGTCCTCCGCGTCCTCGGCCAGCACGGGCGCGTCCGCCAGCGTCAGCACCACCTCGCGCTCCTCGCCCAGCTGCGGCCCACACACACACGCAAACATTTAATTTGTGTAAACTTTTACTAAAGTGAGAGTCGACAAACTGTGCTGTATTACAAACGGGAGCAAATAATAAATTTTACCAATGAAATAGAAGACTGAGTGGTGCAAATATAAAACACAAAGCGAGTAAAGTGGTGGCTCACCGCGTCGATGTCGTGCGCGACGCGCAGGCCCTTGAGGTGCGCCTGCGAGTACCGCTGCCGGCGCTCAGCCTCCTGCTCCTCCTGCACCAGCGCAGACACGCCGAACACCGCGTCCATCTCGTCCAGCAGCGCCGCCTGCACACCCCCACACACCCCACACACAGGATAATGCTTTTAAATAAAATAATGTTTATTTTGATTTTGATGTGTAGTTGATTTTAATTAAAAATGGTGTGAGAGGTGTCGCCACTCACCCGCTTTTCGGCGGCTTTTTTCTGCTCCTCGATCTCCCGCGATTTCTTCACCCAGGCGATGGCGTCCTCGTCGTCCGACTCGTCCGCCAGGAGCGTGGTCTGCAACCTGACCGCAACCGCAACCGCAACGTGCGTACACATTCATTATTACTTTTATTAATACAACCATCAAGAGAGGTGCAGAGGGAACAGAGTAGAGCACTCACTTCTGCTCGAGCTTCCTCTTCTCGCGGCGCACCTCGAGCTTCTCCCGCAGCTTCTCCGCCTTCTTCTGGTGCGCGATGTTGTCCGCCGGCTTGTGGTAGAACTCGCCCAGGTCGTCCTTTATCTTACCGTCGTCTGCCACACACAATACAATTATATAAACATATAACTGCTAAAATACTAAAAATAAATAAATGTTCATTTGGTGCTTAGTGTTGACAATGCAAGACTAACCTGTTGTCTGCTCTGTCACCTCCAATGGTTTGAGGCCGAGCTTGGCGCGCAGCCTGTTGGTCTCCTCGATGGAGAGGCTCTCCTGCGCTGCACCGCCCGGGGCGGGAGATTGCTCTTTTTCATGTTCTCTGTGTAAATAAACAGTTTTATATGTTTAAATGTAGTATAGTCTGTGCTTTAAATATTGAACACAAGACAATAAGCAGCTAGTATACCTGGAGCTGTGGCGGTGCACACTGGAACTGCGGCTGCGGCTGTGGCTGGAGGAGACATCCTCTGCGGGCTGCAGGTGCGAGTCCACAGGCACCTCCTCCACTGCAACAACAACACATATGTTACAACTGCACTCGCACACTCTCACACCACTAACTCTCACTTTCCACCATCAACACACTTATATTAACACATATATTTTTATCTTTTTCTACAAACAATGTCTCCGCAATGTTTTGAAGCAAGAGTGGAATTTTACTCTAACACAAACAAATACGAAACTAAAATAAAATATAAAAAATTGTAGTTATATGTAACATGAAACCAATGTCTCCTATGTGCACACATTGGTTGTTCATATATATATTAATTTCTGTTTAATATCCACATTAGACGATTATTTTAAAACATATTATATTAGTTAGCTTTTTTTAAAGGAAGTCATAATGGTTAACTTCATAATGTGCACATTGCAGACTTTGTTTTAATAACATGCATATTATATAAAATAAATCTAAATCTTGCATTAAAACATACAACATCTCATAACTCCTTAACCCTTATTAGCCTAGAGTTTTAATTTTAATACCAATCTGTTAAACCGAATGTTCACATTACTATTAGTTTTTTTATAAGTTGGCTGTACCTATTTTACTGTTGTATAATATTCTTTCCAACGAAATTTAAAAAAAAAACTAATTTCATTATTGTTTTATTTTATCAAGCAAACACAGTAATATTAAAATTAAATCACTTTTGTATGTAAATCAGGCTACTAAGGGTTAAGATGTGGTGTTACAAATATGTAGCACTAGTTGATGCCTGCGACTCCATCCATGCAAAATAAAAATATCTTAATTAGTAGCCTGTGTGTTATTCCAGACTATGTTCTACATCTGTGTCAAATTACAGCAAACTCTATGGAGCTGCTCTACATATACCTTTTAACAAACACCCATCCATCCATCCATCCATCCATACATTTGCATTAATAATATTACTAAGATGACTACACAAATGTAAATCACTCTGAGTAATTTGTTTGCACATATGATATAACTCTACTCAATTGTCACCAGTTTTAACTTGATCAAATTCAATGTGGGCATTTTTATTCATTCAGCCATAAAAGTAATATAATACAGCTTTTTTTGTTCAAACTTACATATGGCTTGTTCAATCTAAATTGCTTGTTGTTATGAAGGAACTTTATGAATGTGGTGCTATTTATTTTGTGCTTCAAACATATAACTACAGCAAAAACAACAGTTTTACTGTAGTTATGAATTAACATGACTGTAATGAATGCCTCTACACTACAGGACCAATATGCTGTCTCACTCATAAATCAATATTTATTGAGTGAAGAATTTTAATTTTACATTATTGTTACTGTACCTCATACCTAGTGTTGATTGCTATGTGATGTGACCAACATATGATATTGTACAAACAAGCAAATGAATGTGAAACATGACACGGTTAAAAATTATACGGTGAACAACTGCTTAAAACTTTTGGATGAAGAAGAAAAAACTTTGATTGTGGTTTATGGTAGCATTTTAACAAATTGGTGGCCACTATTTTTTTTATATATTTATACAAGTGTGTGAACAGGGCCACTGAGTGTTTGCCATCGGTTTATAGCTGTAGTCATCTTCACCGTACTGGTCAGTTGGCAAGTAGCCACCTAACAATACCCACCTCACTGGACCAGCACTCGGGATGGGGTTAACTCGAATGCCACCACGTCTGAAATATGACCAGAATATGCCATTATCTCGTCAACATAATGTGACGCCTTCACTAGTGGTACTCTCCGATTTCTTTGTGTTCTAAAAATCCGACTGTTACTGTACGAGGAAATACTTTTGCTTCATAATAAAGAAAAAGAATTGAAAAAGAATTACCACCAGTGAGCAGCGTTTATATGTGTAAGATATTTCATTTTACTGACCATCAGGTGAGCGATCCTTCTTGCGGTCTTTGTGTTTCTTATGGTGGCGTTTTCTTTCACGTTCCTCAACATCCAAAGGGGATTGTGAACGACTTCTGTGCTTCCTCTTTTTGGACTCTTTCTTATGTTTTTTCGAACCCATTGTTTATTTTACTACTTGTTATCGAAGTTGGACTATACAAATTGCTGGATTAGTAATAATATATTTAGTTGTGCTATGATTGTTGTAAAACATCGAACTAAGAAATGCCTTAATTACTTAAGTAAACTATACACAAATGTAAACTAAGCACTTTTCTGCGTCCTTATTTCTTGCTTTTTTCTTGTTTTTGACAGATTATAACTGCATCACGTTGTGTGGCGGCCATTAATAATTTGCAAAGAGTAAAAAAGTATTTTATATACTCTTTGAGTAAAACCGTTAAATATCTAAATAGCAAATAGAGTATTTGTAATGGTAATCTAATAAACGATTTTATAATTTTAGCTTAGTTCTTTAATTTTGTGCTAGTCGCCTTTTTTTAAAAATAGAGGATATTTTAATTTTAATACAAGCAACCGATCATCACTATGGATTATGTTATGTACAGTAGGGTTCTGTAATGTACATTATAGTTCTTTTCAAATATCTTGGGAGCCTGAAAAAACTGCCATAATATCCTTGTCTTATATAATTCGTAGCCAAATTGTCAATTCCGAGTTCAATTCATATATTCAATATATTTAAATGACCGCGCGGAAATCAAGGCAACTCATGTGACCTTCCGCTGAAACTGACTCGAAAAGAATTTTCATTTGCATTTCGCCAATGCGAATGGGGAGGTGGTGATCACAATGTGATACTGTTGCATCATAGAACTCTTAGGAAAGTAATGAATATAAGAAAAAAACTGGTATTTTATATCATATATTATAAAAGTTATTTATTTCCAAGCTTTAACAAATCTCCAAAGGCTACCTTGGATACATATAATTTTTAGGATATGTGACAATATTGAGTAGATGATCGTCAGCCACATCACGAGGATTCACATCATGACGTTTTTCAACGGTTACAACATCTTATCCAATAAATACTAAGGCGCATATACATATTTAACTTAGAAATAAATGTGTAGTCACAATAACAAGTTTTCATTGAGCAGTATGCAAAGAGGAATGTAGTAAATATTACTTTCATTTGTTTGATATGAAATTTTGCCTCTTAAATATTTTAAGAGCACCAACCATTTCAATTAAAGTTTTTCAAAAAATAGACAATATTCGAGGTAGTTAATGTGATATACTTTCATCATTTTATTTTTATATATGAATTTATAAATATTTCTTTACTATTATCTAAGTTTGTGATAATAAAATAAATGATTACTTTGATCGGAGGTATATTATAATATGAGACTGGAACAGTTACCGGAAAATAAGGTTAACAATTATCCGATTATCGCAGAGGAAAATATCTTATCTGCCTAAATAAGTAGTTTCCGAGCAGTGATATGCGCCGGCGGTTGGATGGATATCACTCAATACAAAATAAAACAATTTATTAATGGACAAAACTAAACATTACCATATTTACAATATTTAAATAGTAGTAGAATAACATAAATGTATATAACTATATTGTATACGGGGCGTACTATCAAACGGACTCACTAAATATTGCTTATCGGGAAGACTCCGGTTCATATTAAGATATAGAATACATACAATTATTATAAGTATTTGTCATGATAAATTACAAGATTTACACAGTACATACATCATGTTCCACTCCACTAGTGTACTTTTTTTATTTTATATGTAAAAGTTAAAACATATACTTAATATTTTGGATATGTTTTTAAGATTGTTTTGGCACAATTAGAGGTGAGGCAGAGGTGTGTGAGGTGTCGCGTCAGAGCAGGGCGGTGGCGAGCACGATGCGCGGCGGGTGCGCGCGTGCATGCGGCGCCTCCCAGGCCAGCAGCAGCCCGCCCGCGTGCGCCGCGAACAGCACCAGCGAGTCCTCGCTGTACGACAAGCTGTAACCACAACAACGCACACTTGGCTCAATTCATATCTTTGTCTAGCGCTGGCTCGTGGGAGATGGAGCGCGTTCAGTGGCACGAACCTGAGCAGCGGCGCGGGCGCTGCTTGGGGCGCGGGCAGGGTGCGCACGAGCTGCAGGTCCCAGCTGCTGTAGAGGCGCACCTCGCCGGAGCGCAGGCCGGCCGCGATGCAGTTCACGCTGGCGCCCTCCGGCGCGTTCGAGTAGCAGATGCAAGTCACCACTTCCGACACTTTCACGCTGCCTGCGAACATATTTATAGCAAATAATAAATGAACCGTTTTAAGAAGTTTAACAAGGTGTAACTTATTACGTGACAACAACGTAACGTCGCTCACCAACAAAGCGTCCGTTGACGGTGTGCACGCGGATGAGCGACTGGTACTTGTGCGGCGCGTCCCGCTCGTAAGCGTCGCCGTCCGCCTCGCCGTCCTCGGGCGCGGCCTCCGCACACTCGGCGGTGTGCTCGGTGGTGTGCTCGGTGGTGTGCTCGGCAGGTTGCAACTCGTGTACGGACGCAACGTCGCTGAGCGTCTCGCTCACCGCGACCTGCGTCACCGGCAGCCGCTCGCGGTTCGGCAGCGTGCGGATGTACGACAGCCTGTTCGCAACCAATGACATTCACTCTCGCGTGAAAACGTACTCAGCGATTGAAGTATTGTAGGGGCGAGCACACTCACCGGTTGAGGTCCCACAGCAGCAGCAGGCCGGTGGTGTCGGCGGAGACGAGCAGCGTGGCGCGCGCGCACACGCAGAGGGCGGCGATGGGCGCGCGGTGTGCCAGCAGCTGGCGCACGGAGCAGCGCGCGCCGGCCCCGCCGGTCGTGCCCGCAGGCCGCAGCGCCAGCACGCGCCCCGAAGACAGTCCCACGAAGGCGGGCCACGACCACGACCCCACCGTGCAGCATGTGCTCACCTGAGTTACCTGTGTCGGACCAATGTATCGATTTTTCTAATAAATCTGATGTCTCTATATTGTATCTTAAAAATGTAGTAAGACCAGTAGTATATATTTGTTTAATTCTAAGAGCGCTGAGTCAATGTACCGCACAAAGTAACATACAAGAACGCGCGCTTGCGTAGTGGATAAAGTTAGACGAGCAAAAAACGTACTCGTTCGAGTGGCGGCAGGTGCAGCAGAGGTACGGGAGCGGCGTCGCGGCGCGTGCGCAGTCGCAGCGCGCCGTCAGCGTGGCCCCACGTCAGCAGCGCCAGCCCGCCCCCCGCACCGCCTCCGGGCCCCTCCTCTACGCAGACACGTTAGTTTCCCACCGTGAAGTGTCACTTGGCAGTTTTGTGTACGTGTCATGTCAACTGACCGTAGGGCAGAGGTGCGCAGTGGTGTGCGCAGGCGGCGGCGGCACGCACGTGCGGCGCGGGCAGCGGCACGAGGCGCGCTGCGGCGGCCAGCTGACGGCGCGCGGCCACCGCGGGCGCGCCCAGCTCCAGCGAGCCGCAGTAGCGCCCCCACCGCACGCCGGACACTCCCGCCATCACCTCCGTCTGCCGGCACACGAACGCAACGTGCAGTGGATATACTTGCGGTGTGTTGGAGCGCGCGGTGGTGAGCGTGCGCGTGCGCGTGCGTACCTGCGTGCGCGGCGCGAGGTCGGGCGCGGCGTGTGGGTGCGGCGCGCGCAGCAGCTGGCGCGGCGCCTGGCCGTACGTGCGCACCATGGCCTGCGCCGCCGTGCGGTCCACCTCGTCCTCGTGCACGCTCGGGTCGAAGCCGTAGTAAGTCTGTTGACATTAATACGTATCGGTACTCAAACACGAGTGGACCTCAATAGTTGCAGATACAAATATACATAAGTTGGAGGGTTGGGTAATAATAGTGAGAAGACTGACGCAGGCGGGGAAGACGTTGATGGCGTCGACGGCGGCCTGGCCGGTCTGCTTGTAGCCGAAGACGAGGTCGATCCAGAGCGGCAGGCGCTCGGTGACGAGCGGAGCCTCGAGCGCCTGCCGGTGCGCCAGCGTGAAGAGGCGCGCGTCCGCCGCCCAGCGCGGAAGCTCCACCGCGTCGACGCGCGCGCCGCACTGCCGCACGCCCAGCTCCAGCCCTGCACCGTATCGCCTCATCATCAAACTTTACTTTCATAAATGGTTATTTTAGCAACACCAGTTTGCAATACTTATGACTTCCTGTGTTCCATCGGTGGCGTACCTTCATCGTTGTAGAACATCTCGGGCAGGTAGAAGAGCTCCGGGATGAGCTCCTTGACGTCGGTGGGGGAGTCGTGCGTGATGAGGCGCCACGTCGTCGCCAACGAGTGGAACGTGCGGTCCGGCATGTCGAAGTTGTTGTCTGCGAGCACACGCCGAACTTTTTAATCGGTTCGTTAGCAATCTCGATATCTTAAGCGTAAACGTCAGTTGTATAAATGATTTAAGAGGCGTCAGTTGGTACCTTGGTAGTTGAGGAAGAGCTCCGTGAAGGGCGGCACGCGCACGAGGTAGTGCAGCACGCCGCCCGAGTTGGAGTAGAGCGAGGCGTAGTGGTGCGGCTGCCGCGACAGCAGCGGGCTGCAGCCCTCGCGCCGCGCCGCCTTCAGGTCCTGCGCACCACACACCCGCACTGTACATACTGTGCACGCCCCCACGCGCACCGTACACACCTCCGCACTACCTCCTCACTCACGTTGTACGTGTTGATGTAGTGTTGCTCCCTCTTCTTGTTCTGCACGGCCATGGGCTTGCTGAGGTCGCGGAAGGAGGCGGGCTCGTGCAGGTCCAGCATCTTGGAGGTGTAGTCGGCGATGATGAACGGCAGCACGGGGTACTGCATCAGGTCGTTGTAGGAGCGTCCAGCCAGCCCGTTCAGCGCCATCAGGTATTCCCAGTTGGTGATCGTGCCGTTACGCCATTGGTTCATCACGTCCGAAAGACTCTCCTGCTCGGTTCTGTCGCATGATATACATAATGTTGGGGCGACGATAGAAATTTGTGTTTAGATTCATCCCAAATGGAATGGGCAATGGAAAGATCGTTAACATAACATGGTATGCGTATACCTGTTGGGCAGATGTGCGGCGTCGAGCGCGCGCAGGAAGGCATCGCGCTCGGCGGTGGCGGCGAAGGCCAGCAGGTGCGCGTGCCCCGACAGCAGGAACAGCTCGGCGGCGCGCTCCTGCAGGCACCAGCGGCGCGGGCACACGCGCGCCACGCTGCCCAGCGCCCAGCT